TCCACACCCACTCTCTGGCTCCCTTCCATCATCACTAAAAATCAATGGGAAAAATATCTCCTGGTATTAAAAAAAAAAACAAAAAACAGCCCAGCCTGCTGGTGGAGCTTAGAGGTTGAGCATCGAACTATGAACCAAGAGGTCACAATTGGATTCCTGGTCAGGTCACAGGGCGGGTGCAGGCTCAATCCCCAGTAGGAGACGTGCACGAAGCAGCTGATCAATGATTCTCTCATCATTGAGGTTTCTCTCTATCTCTCTCCCTCTACCTCTCCCTCTCTGAAATAAAAAATATATTTTTAAAAATTTTCGAGTATTCATAGATACATTAATAGAAGACACAACCTTGAAGAAGATATTTAGTAAACCCATATCTTACAGAAAGGACTTTATATAAAACACTCTTAAAATTCAATAATAAGATAAATATCCAATGAAAATGAATTTGAACAGACACCCCATTGAAAAATATATTTTCACATAGACATTACACACCATCAGCTATTAGAAAAATGCAAATTAAAACCACACTGCAATACAAATGCATTCCTACTAGAAAGGCTAATTTAAAAAAAAGAAATATAAAGAACAGGTGAAAATGTGGAGCAATTGCAACTCTCATCTACTGCTGGTGGGAAGGCGAGATGGTACAACCACTTTAGAACACAGTTTAGCAGTTTCTTTACTAGTTAGATATGCACTCAGCATATAATGCAGCAACCCCACCCTTAGGTATCTTACTCCAAAGCAATGAAAACGTATGTTCACACAAAAACCTGCATGTGAGTATTTTTAGCATCTTTATTCATAATAGCCAAAAAACTAGAAACAGCTCAAATATCCATTACCTGATTACTGCAGAAACAAACTGGTAACACACAATTGGAATACTATGCAACAATAAAAAAGAAATGTACTACTGATAGATGCAACAACATAGATGGATCTCAAAAGGATCATGCTACATGAAGGAAGCCAAACATAAAAAGCTACACTCGCCCTAACCGGTTTAGCTCAGTGGATAGAGCGTCGGCCTGCGGACTGAAAGGGGTCCCAGGTTCGATTCCAGTCAGGAGCATGTGCCTTGGTTGCGGGCACATCCCCAGTGGGGGGTGTGTGGGAGGCAGCTGATCGATGTTTCTCTCTCATTGATGTTTCTAATTCTCTGTCCCTCTCCCTTCCTCTCTGTAAAAAATCAATAAAATATATATTAAAAAAAAAAAGCTACACTCTACATCAAGCATGTCAATCTCACAGCCCACGGCCACATGCCTCATTTATTTGGCCCATGTTAGCCTTTTAGTTTGACACACTTGCTCTCATGATTTCATTTATAAGACACTCTTTAAAAGGCAGGACTATAACAATAAAAAATCAGACTGGTGCTTGATAGGGGCTGGAGGTGGAAGGAGTAACTAACTGCAAAGAAATATGAAGGGCCCTGTGGGGATGACAAAAGTGTTCTGGATCTCTAATGTGATGGTGGTACATTTATCAAAACTACACATTTATCAAAACTCACTAAACTGTACGCTTTAAAAGAGAGAATTATATTAAATACAAATTATACCTCAATAAACCTGACTTAAGAAAATTAAAAAGCAAACCCCAAAGAACGAAGTGAAAATAGATATAACATTTAAATGTATTGCATCATCAAATTAATGTCTTTGCATCTTCAAATTAATGACTTGAGTGAACAGTACAATGTGTTATTTTGGTTTTGTGTTACCATCATCCTACTTCTCATTCTCTGTTGCAACTACTATGTGATCACTCTTTTAAAAAAGCACAGAATGTACAACTTATTCCTGTTTTCTTTCTGAGATCCATGGTATTTCTACATGCATCTACATGTCTGAATGTGTTCTTCAACACTGCTCCCTTCCTCTGCCTTGTATAGTCTTTATCATTTTTCTGTGCCAATAAATCATTTTCAATAACCCAGTTAAAATTTCAATTATGAGTTTGTCAAAATGCAAAATTGTTCATCTTTAACAAAAGCAAGAAAGAACAGAAATCATTTCATGAGCCATGAAATTGTTGCAATACTTACAAATATTTCAATGCTGGCAAATTAAAAAGATATGGATCTTGAACAGTCATCAGAGGATTATGATGGAGAATTCTGAAAAATGCAATAGAATTAAAATTGCCTGCATTTTTAATAACTGCCATTAAAGTTTATGTTCATTTTGTTGGTTCATAATGTGAAGGTTGAAAAAAATCATTTACTGTCTATTCCCAGAGGTCACCCTTAGAATCTGTAAAGCATTCTCTTTTGTTGTTGTTAATCTCACCTGAAGATATTTTTTCCACTTCTTTTTTTAGAGAGAGTGAGAAAGATAGAGAAAAAAAACACACGTCGATGTGAGAGAGACACATCAGTTGGTTGCCTCCACCACATGACCCAATGAGGACCAGGGATAGAACCTATAACTCAGCTATGTGCCCTTGACCAGGTATTGAACCCGCAACCCCTTGTTGTATTGGCCCATGCTCCAACCACTGTATAACACGGGCCAGGGCTATAAAGGATTCTTAATTGGGGAACTACCCAAGTCTCTGAATGATAAAGTGGAGAAGAGAAAGTAAAAAAAAACAAAAAACAAAAAACAAAAAAAACGAGAAAAGAAGTGGATAGCAAAGAAAAATATACTGAAGAACCTCTCAGATTGAAAACCCTATTAGTGACTATGCTGACAGGAAGCTCCTGCTCTACAGGAAATATCATTTCTAATGTCCTCATAATTCAAGGTGCTTTTCTTTCATCTCCAGAAATTTTTAAAAATCCAGTGTAAACCACCCCATTAAGGAGAAAAATAGACCTAATTCCTTGCTTTTGGAGCCACAAATGGGATAGGTGTAAGAGGAACTGGTGAAAGCCATGCTCCTATCACGTACTCCCATGTGTATTCTTGTATCACAGGCTGTCTTATAATGTATATAATCACCTATTTACTTGTCAATTGCTTGGACTTATGAGTGCCTGACATTTACTAGGAATTTAATGGATGTTTGTCTAAAAAATAAATAATATTTTGATTACATATCAACCAAATAAATAAATTTCTTAATTGACACAAACTTTTATTTCCAGTGCTGAAATAAATTTTCCTCTCAATTCACTATTACCCCCTCCCCCTCAATTCTTGAAAACAAAGAAGCCCATGCCAAAGGTCAGTTCTGGGAAAGCAGAGCATGGCATATGTCAGTTAAACAAGTTTCTAGGACACTTTGTACCTTAATTTCCTCATTTAAAAAAGAAAAAAAAAAAGAATGGCTCTTAAGCCATTCTTCTCGAGTTCAAACTGAGCTTATACCCAGCCAATCAATCACTGTATGAAGTTTTTACACATAGCTTTTTACATGTGTTCATCTTCTATTTCACTTACAACTTGTGTAACAGCTGCATTCCATGCCCGGTCTGAAATGTTCCAAAGTTCACTTTTGTAATTAAATTGCAACCAAGATTTCTATTAAGAAAAGACAAGAGCAAAAGAAGAGAAAAAAATTCTTTCAGGACACTTATCCTTTAGCAGAGATTCTAAGTTATCCTATCTAATAAAGAGGGAATATGCTAATTGGCCCTCACTATCGCAAAGATGGTGGCACCCATAGCCAATAAGGAGGGAATATGCTAATTGACTGACCCACCCTCAAATATGGCAGCACCCACAGCCACAAGATGGTGGCACCCAGGCTCCTGAGCCCTGCTGGGGTGGCAGGCATGTGGCAAGGCCGGGCCCGCCCCCAGGCAGGCCCAGGTGCTTCGTGTGCCTGCCTCAGGAGACCCCCCAGTCTCCTCAGCCCCCCAGCCACCCAGGGCAGGCCTGAGATGTAGGCAAGCCTCAGATGGTGGCTGCCCAGCCACCCAGGGCTACCCGAGGCTCAGGTAACCAGGGCTAGCCAAAGCTTGTGCTGCCGGCAGTGGCAGCAGCAGTGGTGTGATGTGGGAATCACCTTCCCCTGATCATCAGGTCACCTCCTGCCCCTGAGAACTCTCGGACTGTGAGAGGGGCAGGCCAGGCTGAGGGACCCTCCTCCAGTGCATGACTTTTCCATGCACCAGGCCTCTTGTATATGATAAAACAACATCAATACTCCCTCTATACACTAAAATTCTTACTATGGGAGATATTTGCTTATGGTTTATGCTTTCATGTTTATACATGTGGTGCATTAGATACAAAAAAATACTTCTATTAAACATCTATATTTCTCTGAAATAAGGCTACACAACCTCAACACTATTGACATTTTGGGCTAGATAATTCTTTATTATGGGAAACTGTCCTTTGCCTTGAACAATAATTGTGACCTCTGCCACTAGATGGCAGTAGCAAATCTACAGTTCTGACAACTAAAACTCTTTGGCTATTGCCAAGTGTCACCTGGTGCAAAATCACCCTGGTTGAGAACCACTGCAATAGAATGCTTCATTCTAAATGTGACAGAATTCTCACACTAATGTATGCTAGAGACAATTAGAATTTGCTATGTAACTTTAGTAACTTTCTACTAATAAAATTTTAATCTTACTTCAAAACAAATAACAAAGAGGTTTACAATTATGTTTTAAAAATTTCTAAACACAACAAAGAAGTTATATTTATAACTTACATATATTGTAAAAGAGGTAATGATTCAAATGCATTCTTTTCAATAAATTCTATTTCATTGCAGGACAAGTCCCTAGAAAAAGTAAAAGAAAAATAGTGCTTCAATTACTAATTAGGTATCTAATTAGTAGCAATAACTGATAGAGGATAGAATAATATTGAATACTTCGGTTTAGTCTAAACTCTAAACCTTAGGAATTGTGATTTCAACCATCCAGTCCTTTTACGCTGCCCTCACCTCTCTTAAGAGCATCACCTACAGGATCTTCATAAATACAACACAACTACAGATCTTGATAGATTTTGAAGGTAATTTTTCCTGAGAGCAGAAGAATTGGTCAGAGGACCATTTGTAGCCTCATAAAATTTAGACTATGAGCTCAAAGTTTATATCTTCGTGTATATTTATAAATTTCTAACATTAAAAGAAATAGTCTCACATCTACACACCTTCCCGGTTTACTTCTGTTTTTCTAGGCAAATTCAACACAGTCACCAGATTAACACTCCAGAAGTGGTTCTCAAATACCAGAAGAAATAAAAGATGCCTTTTCACATAACTTAAAAGGAAGTGACTATTCTAAATAATACAGAACTTTAATACAGAACTTTGAACTAATGATACTTTCTATTATACTAATAGATTATATTAATAGAAGTTCATTTTTTATTTTACATTGCTTTAATAACTATTAATTTAATTGATTCCATTGTACAGTGATGGCGTGACAGAAAACAACGTGGTGCTGGATTTTTATTTGAAAACACCATCTCTTGTCTATAATTGACTGTCTTATTTCCATTGATTCCACTTTAGTCCCTCACTTTTCTCCTGGATGGGTATAACTGTCTTCTGACTGGTGTTTCCATCTATAATCTCCCCCTGGCTAAACCATCAGTCACCAGATTAACACTCCAGAAGTGGTTCTCAAATACCAGCCAGGATCACTTGGGAACTTATTGAAGATGGAAATTTTCAATCTGACTCTGATTAACTGAATTAGTGACTGTGGGTGCAGCTTGAGTTCGAACAAGCCCTCCAAGTGACTCTGTTGTAGGCTAAAGTTTCTCCTCGAGCAATGCCTTGTATAACGTAGTACTTGGCATTCAAAGTACTAGAAGATCTAGCTCTAATCTCCTCCTCCGCCTATGTGTACTCTACAGCTACTCAAGATATATTTTCCCAGGCTCCTTTTGCAAGCTTATTCTACTCAAGATGTCTGTCCATTGATCCACAAGAGCCCTTCAAGGTCCCCTGTTCACAGCATTGCTCTACTGACATCTTTGCTGATCCAACATAAACACTTTTTTCCCTCTGCTGTGACCAAAACCAAATTTATATATCCATTTCTTACAAAATTTTAATAGAGTTACTTTTGCATCCTATTTCCTCTGAGTATAAACTCCTTAAAGTATGGACTGGGTCTTGCTCATCAGCATTGTCTACTGACATGCGAACAGGTGCAACTGAAATATTTATCAAATAAACAAATAGCTGGGAAGTAGAGACAGAAAAATGACTTTTAAAAGAAATGTAGTTTTATTATTTCATGGCTCCCTCTTGTGTGCCACTGCAGCACATAGTCTTTACAAAGTATTTCACAGTAGAAGTAATGAATGACCTAACCCAGTGGTCGGCAAACTCATTAGTCAACAGAGCCACATATCAACAGTACTTCTTCAAAATAGACTCACCAGGCCGAAAATCGACATCTGTGCATGGGCCACGAAGTTTCAATCACACTGCACGTGTGCGCCCGCACGTGGTATTTTGTGGCAGAGCCAAACTCAAAGGGGCAAAGGCCTGCATGTGTATCACAAGCCGCAGTTTGCCGACCTTGGACCTAACCTATTTAGCAGTTATTTCATTTTATTTCCTCCAAACTGCATGGAAGGTTTGGAAGCGAGATAGCAAGAAGACCAATATAAAAGTGGATGTCCCTCTGAAGCTTGAGAGGTTGAATAATACAAATGACTATTTTTAGTGTCATGTGAGGCTCTTTATACCTACTTGCCTGAAGACTTCCATATTTGCAGAAAGAATCCATTTGCTAAATAGCATCAGTAATTAGCCTCATAAGGATTAATGACACACACAGCTCTGGGTGCCATGGACAAAGAATCAGAGTTGAGTTTTTATAGTAAAGAACATCTCCCTATATCTAAGTAAATAGGACACTAGGCAAGCATTTCTTCCTTGACAAGGAGGCTGAAGAGATTTTTATTTTGTAATTACTGAAGTTAGGGGCATTTCTGATATACTTACTTAGTGGAGACATTTCTAACAATACCACTTAACCATCATTTTAAACATTTCCTTTCAGTATTGGTATAACAATTCCTGCATTGAAATCCTCAACACCAGTCTGCTCTCTTCGTAATTTAATATCTTCTTAATAATATTGATTACATAAGTCATCTGCTAAAACATTTAATTGTAAATGTTAATCTAATTTAGATTTAACTATCTAAAAATTATGGGTGAATGGCATTCAAATTAATATAAATGCTTTATAGTTTCTTGTCCTACAGGAGGCAATTTGAGGTTAAGCTAAATTCCTCTCATTTGACTAAATCAACATTTTAAAACCTTTTATGTAAAGGTCAGACAGTAAACATTTTAGGCTTTGCAGGCCACAAATAGTCTGTCTTGCATATTCTTCTTTGTTTCTTTTCTTTCAAAGCCCTTTAAAAGTGTGAAAATCCTTCTTAACTTATGTGCTGTAAGAAACAAACAATCTGGGAGAGAAGGGAGGCAGCCGGGGAGAGGTAAATGGGGGGAAAAGGATACTTATGTAATACTTTAAAAAATAAAGAATTTAAATTAAAAAACAGAAATGAGCAATCATAGGCCCAATTTGATTCATGGGCCCTAAACAAAATATAAATATAAGCAGAGGGTATATGAACCCTTACATAACAAGGCTTATATGTGTATCATTACTCAGACCTCATCACCACTTTTACTCCATAACTGAAGAGTTTTTCCTACCTATAGTTTGTCTAGAGCAGCGGTTCTCAACCTGTGGGTCGCAAACCCTTGGGGGTGTTGAACGACCCTTTCACAGATGTCGCCTAAGACCATCGGAAAACACATATATAATTACATATTGTTTTTGCGATTAATCACGATGCCTTAATTATGTTCAATTTGTAACAATGAAAATATATCCTGCATATCAGATATTTAAATTATGATTCATAACAGTAGCAAAATTACTGTTATGAAGTAGCAACGAAAATAATTTTATGGTTGGGGGTCACCACAACATGAGGAACTGTATTAAAGGGTCACGGCATTAGGAAGTTGAGAACCACTGGTCTAGAGGATTGTAAAACTGAAAATCCATAGGAGATATTAAATGCTAGAGATGAGCTACACAGACTTATGGAATTGTAGAATTTTATTGCTGGGAGAAATTGTAGAAATTACTTCATTTGAACCCCTTATTTATTTTATAGATAATATAACTAAAAAAAACTCATAAGTAAATACAATTAACTTACAAATACCGGAGGGAAAGCAGGCCTTCAAATGAATCTTTACGTAATTCTCTCAAATTATTTGCACTGAGATTTCTGAAAAATGAAAAGGTTATTTCTGGATCAAAATGCAAAATAACTACAACTATTTACTGCACAGAAATATATATATACAATATAGGTTTAGTGCACAAAATTCATGCATAGGGTAGGGTCCATATACCTGGCTGGTGATCAGGTCTAATTGCGACCTTCTGGCTGCCGGGGCCTCCCTTACCTGGTTGCTGGCACCTGGCC